TCTCCAAAGTTAGGATCTCCACTCTGGAAGATATGCAAATCATCACACAGCGAACTCCCCTCCCCCTCGCTCCCCACCCCGGGGGGTTGGACTACCCCAGTCCTTTCTATATTCCTATATGAAAGGTAGAGAATGATTGATGTTAGAACTGAAAACTTTGGAGCAATTAAAATCTGTGGAAGGGGAATGAATCAGCGATGGCATCTGAGCTGGCCGACTTTGTAAACAAATATCTGTTTTCTTAACCGTGCAAAGAAAATAATTTTATTCAACTAAATATACTGAAAGCCCCCAAAGAATATTTCCCTCCCGAGCTTGAGCACCAAGCATCTTCTTCGCCCCAGTTCAGAATCCAGCCTTTGTGTTCGGATTGAGCCATATTCTCCGTTGTTTATTGAAGGGAATCGCGTGCATTAATGAACACTCAGATAATGAAAGTGGAGATTATGGCTCGGACAGGAAATGGTGGCCTCCTAGGTTTGTTTGTTTATTTATTTATTTATTTATTTAGATGTGTCTTTCAAAGGGAGTCACTGGCAGAGGTTGGAACAGGTTTCCAGAGCTCCCGGAAAAGATGTGTTCAGAGAAAGTTACACATGTTTGTTTTCTTTACATCCAAAAAGTGCATTTTGCTGTATCTGAAACGACGATTTTAAAATTGTAGCGGTAGAATTATACCTAATGAAAATAGCCACGCTAACGTGTGTGCAGAGGCAAAACGGTTTCGCTGTTGTTTCTAATCATTTGTGTTCACTGATGTTTTAACAAACGTCTTAACGTGTACTGTTCTACTTGGCAGTTACCCCAGGACGGTCATACAATTCTTGGCCCAGGGCAGAAGCAGTAGCAGTGCTGATGAAATGCACAGAATGGCTTTTAATTCAGCCTACTCCAGCAGTTCCTAAAAATAACAAGGAGATTATTCCTTCCAAACTGTGTTTACTCATAATACGTGACTATGACCACAGACTGAACAGCCGATTTTTAAACGTGCTGGAGTTTGTACTAACTCTGTTTCCTATAGCACCTAAACGAGCTTTGGAAACTTGAGTTTTGTTGTTGTTGGAAGGTTCCGTATCTCATTTCCGGAGGATGATTACGGTACCTATAAAACAGTAGTGAGTTAAAACATCTCTCCACAATAGTTGGTATTGTTAGCGTTCTCCGTTGGACTTTCACACTGAGATGTTGATTACCTTCCATTTTTATTTTTACCCCTATTCTCTTCTCCGACTCTAATCTATGTACACATCTGTTAGACTAAAAATTATATGCATTGAGATAACAGCTAAACATTATGTGTAGCTACTCAAAAGAATCCCTGTCCTGAAGAATTTGTACTATGTGTGGGGGGAAATGATGAATACAAATGAGTTTTTTAAAAATGTGAAATTTTTCAGCAGAGGCTAGACCGGAAACGTGCCATGAAAATTAAGATTCGGTGAATACAAAAATCCAACGTCCATACTTCTTTTAAAAAAGTTGTGGTCAGAAGGTTTTTTCTTTGAAGACGCACTGGATTCATCGCGAAAAAAATGAGAGGTTTATACATATTTAAGTTTTATTATGTCGGTTTCAGATTGATATTATCTTTGTTTAAGGGATTGAGAGGGAAATGATTTGCCCAGGAATCTTAATTTGCGGTTCTTGTTTTAGCCAAAGTCAAAATCTCTAATGTCTCAGCATAACAAATGAAAACATTTCTCAGTTGCTTCCGCCGCACTAAACCTCAGAATAAATGAAAGTACACATTTGTTATGGTTACAGCATTTGTAGTAACAGCTAAACAATTTGCATGGCAATCGTGATTTCAGTTACATTCATTATTCAAAAAAACAAAAATAAAAAAAACTGCCACCATAAAGCTTTTACCGTGAGCGTTCCCAGCCGGATAAGTGTTTATATAAAGCTGCAATTAAACCTATCTTCGAAAAGTGAATATTGAAAAGCTCCCCACTGCACTTCTGCAACTGTAATAAAGTAAGTAGTCCTGCTCCTCCCATTTTTTTTTAAATTATGAAAAAATGTCAGCACACAGTTGAAAAAACCGTGATTAGCACTTTAACAAGACGCGGCTTATTTTTTCTTTCATTCTTTCAGTCAACAGACTCCATAACTCAAACAACGCTAGAGTACAGGTGCAGGGGCAGTTACCCTCTTGAGCTTAACCCTCCCTCCTTCACATACTATCTAAATCCACTTATAAATCCTTCTCATGTTCAGAGGCGCAATAGAAAGCAACCTTTAACTAATAGCCTATAATCCAAACAGTTCTTGCAATCCAAACCATTGTTTAGATTGAACTCGTATTAGTAACCTCACCGGGCAGCCTCAGTCTTATCCCATCAAACCAATTCGCACAGGGACATTTTACATTCGACAAACATCAAAGTTTTAAAAAATATATATAAAAAACCCCAGCCCTGTAGAAATAGCCCATGCGTGGTGGCGTTTGAATGGTTTCCCTAGGTAGGCCGAATTTTTAGGATTTCTCCAAGAGGATTGCAGACAATTAGCCTTTTACTTGCTGCTGCCTTTGGATCGCCTGGTTTCCGCCACACAGTGGCAGCACTGAGAGTCTATCGCACCGCCATAAATAATCCGACACTCACTGCAGTTGCAGTCAAGCAGATACTGCAATGCAATGCAAATGTAATTCTTTATCAGCCCGGAGAACACAAACAACACCGGTGTTAACATCTAAAGCACTCACAGCTCATTCTTAATTACTGTAATGAATATAAAGATATTACAGAAGCAGAACCCTGAACCAATGCCGCGGTTTCCAGAACACAAACATAGGAAGCAACGCCAGCTCGGTGAAAGACACGTTATGATGCCAATACCTTACTAAAATAATCCATGTCCAGATCTATTTCCGTCCCGTCCTCCCCACACACACACAACCCGTGTTCCATTTTTTCAAAATCATAATTAAATTGACACAGTACCTCGTATTTTCTTCAATTGACATCGAAAAAGCTTCATTTCAGAATCTGATGTAGGACTTATTGCTTAAAATCGAGCCTTAGATATTCATCCATAAACTACGTATTTAGAAAAATGTCTGTAATATTGTTCAAGCTCCGATCAACACATGACGTGACACAGTTATACTGTATACAATGATTCATTTGATAAAGCAACCTATGCACATATTTCTTCTATTCTGCTGTTACAGAAATATCCTTTCTCTCCCCTGGAAATTTTACGGAATGAGAAGATATTATGCCGATTGGTCTCTTTCTGAAATTGTAAGTGTATTTTTTTTAAAATTCTAAGTTGCAATTAACACAAATTAATTTGCTAATGCTGGGAAACAAAAATAATGCATTTTCTTGGGCAAAGAAACTCGATATGATTTTGTAAATTTGAATTCTAATATAATAATAATACAAATCTGAATGTGATAGTAAATCTTTTTAAAATACCTTTATTAAAATTACACCTCAGCCTTGCTAATAACAAATGCTTGTATTTTTGCATGCACTGGTTAAATATAAATAAGCTAAATATTCGACTGATAATCCTTCAATTGGTATAAATTCATGTCTACTATATCTATTATATATAGATGGGTCCCATATAGGTATATATGGGTATTAAAATAATGTTACCCTGCTTATGGTAGTGTTATATACGTTTCTCACCTTTAGGTTCTGGCTCGCAGGAGCCCCTGCTACTTTGACAGCTGTCGCTTTGGCTGCACAGGAGACGAATCGCCCTCCTTTTGGTGCCAGAAGAAGCAGGAAATTAGCCAGGTTGCAAGTTGAAAATCTGCCACTCCAGTGCTTTGAATCCAATATGCCACACCTTCCAGCGGAGGAATTGGAAATTGCCATCCAGGATCTGTGTTCTAGGCGGCTGCTTATGCTGAACCTCCATACACTTTGTTCACTATTGCCTTACAAAGAACAAATGAAATGGGGGATTGAAAGCCAGAGAGATCCGAAGCAGGACAGAGCTGAGCAAAAGAATGCAGCTCTATTCTCGCAAGGGAAATTATAAAAAAGTTCATGTTCACGGTTACCATCCACATGACCGACAGCGACCAATGGAAAAACCGAGCAACTCATAAAGTTGTATTGCAAAGTTGTAAATTTTCATAAACAACAACGGATTTATGGCCTTTTCCTCATCACCAAGAAGAGGCAGGTCTTAGAGAGGCGCCATCTTACCAGAGAGGCAGCCCTGGAGTTTTAAAAGACCTAGAGTTTGTTCTAATTTTATTAAAATTGCAATTAGTGCATTTACCAGTAACTGAACACAGCAGAGCTAGGGAACTACTCTGCAGATGATGGTATCATTATATCTATATTTTTCTTGCCCTCTGAAGAGAATTTAATGCATGATCTTTTTAAATTCCATATTAAAATACGGGATCTGCTTTAGGTGTTGTAATGATGGGCAGGGAGAATATTTTTAAATATAGACGGTTCGGTTAGGTTATTTGTCTTGATTTTACATATTTCCTATTGCCCTAATATGATTGACACGCAGACACACACCTGACTTGATCTTCAACATTTTGAACTTTCGCACTGCAGTTTGCGTCTATAATCAAATATTATTCCGCTAACGCGGATTTCCGCCTGGGTATAGGCAGGTTTTATGTCTACTGTGATTTTAAAAATTTCACTGAAGCACCTAGGAGCTTCTTGTTTAAGGAATGATCTCTGCTTAATGAATCAACTCAGGTGAAAAATCTAGATAGAGAAATTGACTGATTCCTAACAATTCATCACCTATTAATTTTTTTTGATTGCGGATAAAAATGATATATTTGATCTAAATTCTTTATTTGGCCTTGTAAATTTTATGCTTCTTTTGAACTGTTCCCTAATAAAGAAACACAATTAATTGTCAACAAGCATATTTATTTCTTGTGTAACATAAAACATTTATCGTGGGAGATATTTGAACACGGTATCACTTTCAAAGAGAGCTCACTTACATTTTTTCTCAACTGCCAATACTTACACGGCATATCCAAATGTTCACAATGAACACATCGAAACACATTGTAACATACAATTTATGAATAAACTTTAGCCAAACCTTCATGAAGGATTTATACAGAGTTCTTAACAATACACCATGCTACAAAGTTACCAATTTAATTACAGACTTCCCAGTTTATGACGTGATCTTACAAATGATTTCAAGACAATATAAATGACAAAAATTTCGTTTAAATATACAGTATTTTCTATTGTAGGAAAATTCACGGTATTACATATTAACACATTCTGAAATCAGGACAAAAAGATTTTTGAGAGGCGCTAACCTGGTCGTCTTAATTCACTTTTTAAAGAACATTTTCCGCTATATTAAGTAGGATGAGCTTAGAAAACAAAACGGCCTATAACAATGTACTTCAAAAGGTAGAAGCCAACAGAAGATATTAAAGCGCTTTGTACAATATTAGTATGTGTTTTCTTCTTCACTCGGAATAGTAAAGGATTGAGAAGAAAGATATATTGCAGCATATGGTTTTCATTTATAATTGCGTTGGAATAAATATATTATTTTTTCAATTTAAATATATTCAGCATTTTCGGTACCAAATTATATACCAAAGCTATTGATGCCTGCTTTTCAAAGGACTACACTTAAGTTTCTAAAAGCATTCTGCAATTCACATTAGTATGTTATCTTCTTTTGATTAATAAAATACAGTATAGTTTAGAAGATAGGTAGGCGGAGCGAGAAATAGGTAGTCTGGAAAATAGGTAGTACAAATAATTGTTGTAGGATGTAGTGGTTTCTGTTTCATTATTTTTACAGGATTTGTTTCACTTGCTGTTTAATGTTGCCTGTTTGTTGTGATCCTTTGAAATAAAAGGAAACAGGAAGTGCAGAACTATTTATTCAAAATTAGGTAGTTTTTTTATGTGACCCTAATGCACTTACCCCTTAACATCTGATTGGGACTAATTGAGTCAGGTAGTTATGCTGGAAGTTAACGTTTTTCTGCATGTGCAAGTAGCAGTTCTCTCACGCAAATGTAACCATACAAAACACACCAAGATTTGGGCAAACGAAAATAAAATGATTAGGATGATCTTATGAGAGATTCCAAATAAGTTGGACAGGAAATGTGCGAGGTTTGGGGAGGTGGGGACTGGAAGACAAATCAGGGGACCTTTTAATGTTTGAAAATGCTCGGTTTCAAGATGTTCATTAAAGGGAACAGAATTTTTAAAATAAAACAGTAAGTCTTTTTTTAAAGAGAGCTTTTACAACTGTCACGTGCATACATAATACTAGATATTGCTTCATCAAATGGGAGCTTTACTCGTCTTCTTCCTCCTCTTCTTCCACTTTCTCCACAGACGCTGTTGCTGACGTGTTCTCGTTGGTCGCTGGAGTGCTGGAGCTCTCTTCTTTATGCTCTTTCTTCCATTTCATCCTCCTGTTTTGGAACCAGATTTTGATCTGCCTTTCAGTTAGGCACAGAGCATGGGCGATCTCTATTCTCCGCCTGCGAGTCAGATAGCGGTTAAAGTGGAATTCTTTCTCCAGCTCCAGGGTCTGGTAGCGGGTGTACGTCTGCCGACCCCGCTTCCTATCTGGACCTGAAAGCAGGCAAACAGGCACAGAAGTTAGCCAGAAACCTGAAGATAATCAGTTCGATGGAAAGTTGGTATTTACAAACAGCCATCCAAGCAACTGGAGTAAATCCTCTTCCTTTATTCCCCCGCCCCTAACAAAGGTATTTCTCTCAGACAGCATGCCCAGCTCAAACATGGCAAATTAAGTTCTCTGAAATATACCAGAGTGGAGAGAAAACATTAAAGACAAAAACATTTTACTTCCTAAAGGATGAACCTTACAACCGGCTCTGTTTCTCCAGCGTCCTCCAGACTTTTGTGTTTCACAAAGGAAAAGAAAAGCAGGGTCTGAAACTTCAATTTATTTATTTATTTATTTATTCCAAGGTCTTTTTTTTATCAGATTATAGACACATACTAGCATTAGACTCAAGAACGGAGCTCACATTTTCCAGATCTCTTTCCTTTTTACGCACGTATACAGACCCTGATCCCCAGAAAAGGCAGATGACACATTTCACACTAACAGTGAGCTAGAGCACCCCTGCCCCTCTGAAATAGTCTCTCCTCCCTTCTTTAGAGCCCCTCTTTTTCTCTTTCCTCTGCGTTTTCCGCCACATATGATTTTTGTACATTTTGTTGGGGTGAGGGTGGGGGTGGGGAACACTTACCCGGGTGGGCTCCCAGAGTACATAGCCAGCTCTCCATATTTCTACATCAACCCGCACAAATAAACGTAATACTAAAATTCCATAGCAAATTGACTTAAATAAATTTACGAGGATAGAACCCATTAATTGAGCAATAAAAAGTTTTATGATACTCATTTACATACAATGCCACGGGCTTTCTACGCAATGGCGCCTCTGCTATAATTAAAACCATAAAGGCTGTGCTGACAGTAATTTCGGCTACACATTTGCCTGGCTGCCATAGCTTTGCCCTCTCCATTCCCCATACCTGAAGACCTCATCCAGGGGTATATCCGGAAATTAGCCTCAGCCTGGCTGTGCAGGTTGCTTTCCTCCGCTTTCTCACAGCTGGATTTGGTTAGATCATTGCAGAGGACGGGAATGTTCTGATCAAAAGAGGAACAATGCAGGTTGTAGGCATCTGAGCCCAGGCTGTATCCGGAAGAGAACGGGTTTTGATATATGGTACTGTTCACATTGTACAAGCCAGGCATGGAGGAGGTGAAAGCACTAGCCCCTGGTCCATAGCCGCTTCTCTGAGAGTTGGTTGCAAAGGAGCAAGAAGTAGGCTCTGCATTTTGGAAAAGAGAAGCCCCCGTCGTATATTTGCTAAAAAGAGCGTTCACATAATACGAAGAACTCATAATTTTGACTTGTGATTTGTTGTCCGGTAGGCTTCAGTGTCGGTTTTACGAGGTAGCGTGATATATGATAACATTACACCCCCAGATTTACACCAAACCCCATTTTCTTTTGGACTGAGCTGCCTCCAGCACGTGACCAGTCATATGACCCCATCCTCCAATCTCCTCCTGCATCACAGGTGGTATGGATCAGGGTGTCTCACAATATCCTATAATGGAAGGGGAAGAGGATCAAATATATGTCTAACAAATTAAAGACAAGGGGGCTTTTGGTTAAGGGTGCCACATGGTAGATGATCTTTTGTAAGATCCCTATAAAATATAGTAAGTAAAATAAACAGAGATTTATTTGGTTGTATTATGAAACTTAAACCGCACGTTGTGCGACGCAGATCTCTCTATTCTAGAGCTGTATTGGTTTAGAAAAACAAGGTATGGCTGCGCACATATTGCTCCTGCCTCTCAGTTTACTCCTCATTTTCTGTCTTTTTTTCTTCTTTTATGTTTTTTTTTATCCAAGTGGAGATCGCATAGCATTGGACTATATTATAATATGAATAGGAGGGTTTTCTATTTAATAAAAGCTACAGTGCTCAGCTGATCAATAGTTAGTGTTTGGGGGGAAAGCACATCTTGCACATTAAAAACCTCCGCAGTAAACTGAAACCATGTGTCTCTCTCACACACACATACACACAAGTTTAAATAATTCTGTTACTCACGCATGCATTATTTTTCTACAGTAGTGAAATAAGTATATATTGCGTTCCCTATTTTGCTAACAGATGTATTACGATATTGCTATATTACATTCTGCTAATCGCTTTCGGCTAGATGGATCAGGATGGGGTTGCTCCAGAAATCCGCTTTTAACTCTTTTGCAAACCAGTATGTCTCAAAGGACGAAGCTAACCGTTCTGAAAGAATATTAATACTCCTTGGCTCGCATACATTACCGAACCTTGCGTGTGAAACTTAGTCCATCTCTTCCGATTTCAAAGGTGAATTAATATATCGATCACGTTTTTTTATTTATAATACTCAGTTGCTAAATCTGTATTGTTACAACTGTATTTCTGACGGATTCATTACATCTAATAGCAGAATAATTCCGCTTCCCCCCGTTCTCTTGAAGCAAAAAGAGGATACCTCTCGCCTGAACACCTTTTAAAAACCGATAAGTCCTGGAGTCACACATGTAGGGCTTCAGATCTTCACTAATTGTTTGATGCCTTCTTTGCCTTTCAGTGTACATACCTTACTATTCGAAGACGGAGACAGCAACAGTACATTTAGATCACGGGTAACGTTCCTCATTTTCTAAACACTCCGCTTTCCAACAATAAGAATGACTTTCCATTGAGGATGCTGCACCGTACCCTTCCTTTAAACGGATCATAAAATGGGTTTCCTTCTCTCAGACAGGGAGTCCTGGTAAAGACAGCTTTTACTGCCCTGCCTTATTGCACATCATAAACTGGAAGAAGCACAATGGAATTGCCCCGGAAATTCTCCTTTAAATTATAGAGTTTAATGCCCTGTGTACAAAGAACTTCTCACCAGTTAAAATTGTTCTTGGCGATATTTCGCACGGACCCTAGAGTTCACGTTTTGGAAACCTAAGGAAAAAAGAACGCTTGAGGACTATTTATATGCGAATATTGCAACAATCCCATGTAGGGTACGGAGAAAAACAAGTGAAATTGACTAAAGCGAAGTCATCTAGATATTTGTGGTTAAGAGTATGCAAACGTTGTGACTACATCTAGATATTTGTCAACAGCTAAACATGTACAAACCAGGTTATTATTCGCAATCTAAAGCCAGCATCTGAATAAACAGCTTCCTCTTTATTTTGTTTCAGAAATATTACTCAGCATTACAGTTAGTTACAAAAAACGAAGGATCACAATCCCAACTGACTTTCTGGAAAGAAATAAAGGCCCAAGAAGTTAAACGAATGCGAAGCAACCAAGA